GAACTGACCGGAATAACCGCAAACCTCAAAAACTTCTCATTTCGTTCTTCTGCTAGGAAAAGGTGAGAGGTAAATTGTGTTCATTCATTTTTTTTATATGTTCAGCAAAATATACCTGACATGCTAATGTATTTATTATTGACTCGTGTACTTGAACATTTGTAGCACAGTAATTGTCTTTTACAGGGGGTGCGATCATGTTTCCAGCTGTAACTTTGGTTGTGCTCCAGTCTACTATACCAGGACTCACTGTGGGATCTGAACCAACAACCTTCAGATTCCAACTCCTTGTCTTTAGCCACCTGTAACAGAGAAACAATAGCACATGTGTCCATAGAAACCATGGCCAGCTGGTTTTCCCTGGTTAGTCTTACCTGCCCCCCATGTCCATCATCGTCTATGCGCTGTGTGTGGCCCAGAGACGTGACCTAAAACCGTTCTTTTTTTTTTCTTAAAGCCGTTTGCTGCAGAGACAGGAAGTGGGTGTGCTCTGTCCTGCTGTGCCGCCTGCCTCCCGCTGACGCACCTGTGGACTGCAAAGGTCCCCTTTGCTGTGCAGTGCGTCCTTTGCTGTGCAGTGTGTCCTTTGCTGTGCAGTGCGTCCTTTGCTGTGCAGTGCGTCCTTTGCTGTGGAGTGCGTCCTTTGCTGTGGAGTGCGTTCTTTGCTGTGCAGTGCGTCCTTTGCTGTGCAGTGCGTCCTTTGCTGTGCAGTGTGTCCTTCGCTCCCTTAAAGTGCTTCTGGATACAAACATGCACGAAGGATGTGCAGAATGCTCAACTCCAGTCACCTATTACCTTTTGGTTTCGTTTCTGTCTCCTTCACAGGATTTACTGTCCCGTGACCCCCGCTGCCTCACTGACAGGACAGTGATAACAGGAACATATACAAAACAAGCCCACAAAGCTAAAGTGCACATAAAACAGCCTGTGATGAGTCTGCTGCAAAACGTTCCCGAAACGTTGCATTTCTGTATGCTGAGAACCACTATTCTTGTCCGGTTCCAGCTCATTTCATTATGAGTTTTGGCACTGTTTATTTTAATGGTCCCAGTTAGGCGCTCCTGATTACACTGGTAATATTCTTATACTGCCAGATGTGAAACATAGAGGGTGTAATTATAGATTTCTGCTGTTCCTCACCAGGTACTTTTCCTGTATAGCCTGACTGGTAGTGCCCCCCCATCCCCTCCCCCCCCCCCGTTTCTCCCAGTGCTCTGTGGGATGTCTGTACTCCGTCCCCTTGCTCCTCTTGCCGCCTCTTTAAATGAAACCCCTCTTCCTTAGCCACCAAAACGTGTCTACTGGTCTGTCCCCATTATAAAGCATGAAGGGGAATAAACGCATCTGCATGCACGGATTCTGCACGGATTCTGCCGTTGTGAGACTCCTAGTGAAAGGAGAAGTGAGGGGATCGAAAAAAAAAAGAAACTTTTTGAACTGGCATGTGTGTTTCGACTCCTGGCTTTGCCCGACCCCCGAGTTGGCATCGGCGAGCAGAGAGGCGACGGGAGATGGCAGACAGGCCAAGAGAGGGAGGGGGTCGGTGTCGCCGCGGTGAATCGTGGTAACAAAGAGTTATACCTGCATAAAGCCGGCCGACAAGCAAGGAGGCGCTTTTAATTGATACGATTAATTACCGCTCGTTTTCAGACGGAGCGTAAGCAGCGGGGACGGCCACGCAGGCCAGAAATCACGGCACCCGGCGACACGGCTGACGTGCCGATGGCAGCTTTGTGGTCTATGCGCGTCTCAGACGGCCACTGATCGAACCTCCCCCCCCCCCGCACGGCGATTGATGGGCGCCTCCTCGCTCTGTGACTCGCTAGGCCCTGAGGGGGCCACACCCAGCGCCAAGTCGCTTCTAACAATAACAAGCCTTAAAAAGCCGCCATAACTCAGACTTTTTTATTTGCCGTTCTCTCTTAACCTGGACTTTAATCAACTATTATGGCACATTTTTATTGCCTATATATTTCCCTACCAATCCCTACATCATCTCTCCGGAGAAGCGAGGAAGCGCAGAGCCTCGCCACCCACCCACCCACGGCCGTTTTTGTGTCCCTGCGTCAAAAATGGTGCAGGACTGCGACCTCGTAGAGCGGATGTCCACGAGATGCGGCCAGCGTCGTCTTAGGCGTTCGTGAGTGCGACGTTCCTCTCTCGCGCGCTGTCCGAAAGCTACAGCGAGGGCAAAATCCCAACACAGGCAGAATGTCACTGCAGACAGAGGGCTGTAGGGATGCGATTGGCGATACGTAATACTTACTCTGATATCTTACCAAGGTGAACATGGTGCCCCACCACCTGGGAGGTGTGGGTTACCTGTAACCACTGTCACAAGCAGGGAGGGGTTTGTTGTTTCTGGGGGCTCAATGGTTCTGAAATAAAATAGCTAACAAGCAGCGACAGAAAATGGCAGCTCGCTAACGGAGTAACAGAACAGAACACAAGGGGCACATTTATTTAATATTTAGTGTAGTGGCTGGAAGTGTGGTTTGAGCCTGGGGGTGTGGGGTGTGAGGGAGACTGGGGAGAGGTGGGGAGACTGGGGAGAGGTGGGGGACGGCATGAAGGTCGAGGTGAAGGACAACGGAGGGAGCAGACGTGCTGTTAGGGGAGGGGGGCAACAAAGAGGGGGATCATCAAGGAAATGGCAGCTGAGAATGTCTGTATTTACAGATGTATTACATTTATAGCCCTGGAGCGTCGTGAGGACAAATTACAGGAGTCATAAAAGCATCAAGCCCATATACTGACCTTTTACTGATAACTGTGGTCACTGTTTCTGCTGATTTCTGCTTTAAATGTAGATTTTAGAGGAACCGCAATTTACGCAGTAAAATACTGCCGGAAACATTAAATATAGGCAGCTGTGTGTTGTGGATTATTTTACTTTTGATTTTGTCTTGCAGCTAGTAAGAGCCTCTCATTAGGTTCATTTATTCAACCGCATTTTCTTGCTGTCAAAATGCGTTAATTGCCAGATTAATTAAGCGCTTAATGCCAGATCTTTTGATGTCTCCGTGCAATTCGAAATGCCGTTTAAAATGTCCGGGAGATAAATCGGATTAGAGGAGACTCGTTACTCCAGCTGGAATCACTCGCCTCACATGAGACGAGGAGATGCTCTGCTGTTGCTGTTCGATACAGTAACACAAAAATGGGACTCAGTGTCCGCAGGGGGAGATGATGGCCATGGGGGGAGATGATGGCCGTGGGGGGAGATGATGGTGGCGAGGGGAGATGATGGCCGTGGCCTTCGTCACTGTGCAATGCAGGCAAACGTCTGCCTGTGTGGTTCGGAGGAGCAGCTGTATGATGCTGGATGGGGGGGCTGCGTGCCAAGCCCCCACCAAGCCGAGACAGACAGGCAGAGCCCTGCCTCTCTTTCTACGCTGGGGTCTCTTTTGCCTCGGTGTGCCTGGCAAAGTGCTAAGTGTTTGTACTGCATGTCCTTGGCTGGATAAGGATATAGCAGCTCTAGGTTTGAAGGCACGCAGATCTATGCTCTTTGATGCAGCTAATTGAGCCTTAGACTTCAGCCCACACAGAGACCAACAGTACAGGTAACAATGCAGCCATAGCTCCGTCAGTGCGGCTCAGTCCATTAGACGACAGGGACTGTCACCCAGGGTACCCATGTCCCTACTGCGCCCCTGTG